CCTGTATCACACAGCCTGACTCAGAGAGGTCCCCTTGCCCATGTAGAGCCAGGCATCTCTGAAGTAGGTGCCATGGTGATGCAGCAGATCCACCTATGGCTGTCTCCACTTGTTCCCACAGATTGCAGAGGGAGTATATGAAGGCTTCCTTAAGGCCCTGATTGATTTTGCCTCCCAGCATGTCTACCACTGCGACCTGTGCACCCAGCGAGGCTTCATCTGCCAGATCTGCCATCATCACGACATTATCTTCCCTTTTGAGTTTGACACCACAGTCAGGTACTCAGAATACCTAGCGAGCTACTTCCATACCCACAGCCTGACCCAGTACCCGTGGTGGTAGGATTCACTCTCTTATGCAAGGGCACACTGGATGTCTACTCTATGCCAGTGCCCAGAGTTAGTGTGGCTACCAAGAGCAGCCTGGGCCTACAGGGGTCCCCTCCTTCTCCCTATCACCCTAGAGAAGAGGTGACTACTGCCTCTTGGAGTAGGAGATTTTCTGATCTTAGTCCACAAATGAATTGAGCAGATTGAACCAAGCATATCCCTGGCTCTGGGACACTGACATAAGGCCTAGCACAAAGTAAGTACCTGGGGGCCAAGGGGTAACTTCTCATTGACTCTTTTGCAGTAAGTGCTTATTCTTGCCTCCCCCCCATTACTGTGCATTACTAGAAGCCCCTGAATAGAAGTACACACCCCAACCTTTCCTCACCTTCAGTAGGTAAACCAGCCAGAGTCAGCCCTGAATGGGCCAGGGCTGTTGTCTAAAGTATTCTAAAGATAGGAAAGAAGTCATTAGACACTCAAGCAGCACTTACAAAGAATGAAGTGGGACACAGTATCAGTGAGTATTGGGGTCACTTATGGATTGAATTTTAGAAGGAGTTTTCCAGAAGTGGAAAGCTTTGCATATGGGTGCAGGCTACAGGCAGAACATAGCCACCCTGTGGGTTCTGTCCAAAGCCCTGGCCAGCCTGGTCCTGGGCACATCTGGATGACTGGTACTAGCAGCCTTTAATGTTCTTTCCCCAGGTGTGCCGAATGCAAAACTGTCTTCCACCAGAGCTGCCAGTCATTGGTGAGGAAGAGCTGTCCCCGTTGTGCCCGTTGGCGCAAGTACCAGGAACAGAACATTCTTAGCTAACCCTGATGTTCTGACCCACCAAGGCCAGAGGAGCTGCAACTCAGCCATCCAGCTGGGTCTGCCATTAGTCTGGGCTCCTCTGTGTTACTGTCAGGAAGATTCAAATGTGCACAGATCGCTAGCGTCCAGAGAAGGCCAAGGAAATCCTATTGATGTCCCATGCTTCCTCACTACCCTTCTGTTCCAGAAAGTGGAGACCTACCAGATGCCCCTGCCCAGGGCTCTTCACCAGGCCTGGCTCACCTAGCTCTCATGGCACCTCCATTAGGGCTGTTCATACACTGTGGAAACAAGACTTAGAAAGCATTTTCAACTCTACATTCCTGATTAAAAGGTCTAGTTTTTTAAGGTGGGTTTCCCCCTTCATATTTAAACAGAAAATATTTTTTTATTCTCGACCCTCCCAAGTCCCCCAAGAAACCCGCCTCTCCTATCTGGAGCAGATGAGCAAGAGCTACCGAAGCAGGCAGGCATGAGGCTGGGTGGGCAGGCCACTGTGGGACAAGGCCTGTCTGTGAACTGGATGCCTTTCCTTCACCCTTTCTGTCACATACTGCCAACAATGCAAGTGGCATGTGCCAAACCGTCCGTCATACAGGGCTGGTCAGTTCCTATGACCACCTTCCTCTTCACCTGAATTACTCAGTGTTAGAGCCTCTGTCTTCTCTCTGGCCTGGGATCACAGCACTGCAGGAGCAGGGGAATTCCCCCACACCAGCACTGTCAGCACTTTGAACTTTCCTTGGTTCAGGAAGGTCATGATCTTGCCCATCCTCATCCCTCCACCCTCCTTAGTCCTGCCTGGAAGCAGGACTAGCCCCTGTCAGGGTAGAGTAGGTTGGACAACAGAGAGGCCCCAAGCTCCACCTGTAAAGAAGAGACCCATCATCGTTTAACTGCAGAGATACACAAGGACATGCCCAGCTGCTGCCCCATGGAAGTCTCATCAGCCTCAGTCTTACAAAGCCATGAGTTCACAAAGCTGCTTCAGTTTTGGCCTTGTCTGTCAGGACACTACAAAGCCCAAAGAACTTCCTGGGAGCAGGGTGCCTTTGAAGAGGCCCTTGAGGTTGATGGCAGTAGCCTGGAATTGTTCTCAAGGTGTTCAGAACCTTGAGGCTTTGCAAGGGGTGGGGGTGGGGGGTAGGGATAATCAATGCTATCTTCTCTTCTGGACCCACCCAGCAGCCCCTCTGGCCATCCCCAAGCACTTTGAGTCGGAGATCTCTGGTGGAAAGGAGGGCCTCCCAGGAAATGAGCCTTCATGCCAAGAGAAGCAGCTTCCTCACCCTCCCTGAGGTGAATGGACTGAGTCATCTGCCCAGCACCCTGGAGCTGGAAGGATTGTGCAATAGAAAAGAGGAGGTGTTAGGCAGGTGGCAGAGACTGCCACACAGTTCCTCTGTCCCCATCATGGAAGATGGCGCTCACCAGTGACTAGAACACCCAAAGCCTCCAGAACCAGGATTCATATCCCCATCCCACATCCAGCATTAACACTCCCCCAAACCCACAGCCTGATTAGAGCCTTCTTGCCCTGGGTCCTCAGGTGGGCAGGAGTCTTCCCAGCACCTGGATTATGAGCATTAGAGCCCGTCCTTGCCCCTTTACTAAGCAAGCTTCTAATGCACTCAGATGAGTTCCTTTACCCCACGCTGCCAGAAGAGAGCTTACATGAACCTCAGCAGTGCCCACACTATTTTTAAAATGTTCTTTTATGCAATAAACTGTTTCTGGTAAGTGGGGCCCTAGCCCTGAGAAGTGCTTGGCAATGTATTGAAGGAATTGCTGCTATGTGATATTTGAATGATTTTGCAGTAAAAAGCTGGTCTTTCTAATCACAGTCTGGCTTCTGAATCTTAATCTTGCCACTGCTGGGGAGACGACCAGTCATCCGATCCATTCGGCAGCCCCTTGCTCCTCTTTAATCCTAGGCACAGGGGATCTTGGGTCCCTGGCACACAAGTGTGCCAGGAGGAACAGGGAGAAGAGGATGACAGTATTCAACTTGGCAGGGAGGGAGGGGGACAGATTTACATACACTCTAACAACTTAAGCTGACTCTTATATGCCTTCCCTCTAACACTGGCCTGTAAAGGCTCAGAAATCTAAGTGGAGAGGGGGCTCAGGGACGACAGGTGAAATGAGTAGACCCTGACTCCACGACTAGTGGATTTAAAACTCAAGTGACCTCTCTAGCTGCTGGCCTTCCTCAGAAGTTCCAGAAGCCCCCCACTGCTCATGTAAGAACAAAAGAAGGAAACAGACAAATTCCTAGGGAAACCAGGTTGCAGAAAAATGGTACAGAAAGACAACATACAGGCTGCAATTTCCTGTCCTTGAAGACTCAGGCAGTGAGTGGAGTGCCCCTTGCCCATTATGAGCCGGATTTTTTAAGGACTTCCCTCCTCCAGGGGCCTAGGCCCAAAGAAAGGAAAGAGGAACTGGATTTGGGGGTTGGAGGTTGGCCTGAGACATGAGCTGGTGCTGCCCTGTCTTTGGCTCAGCCTTTCCACCCACAGTACAATGCTTCGGAGGGCATGTTTCCCCTTCCTCCCCTCTGCCTAGAGGGGCATGGGAAAGTCGGAGATCCCATCCTGAGAGCTCATGCCATAATAAGCAATAATAAGTAATAAAGTGTGCATTTAACACCATTGTGCTTAGTGTATGTCATTTAATCTTTCCAGAAAGCCTGTGGAGGTGATTAGAGGAAACAAGTTGTAGACAGAAAGTGTTACTTCCCATGCTAAAGGCCAGCATGTGACAGAGATGAGCATCAGACTGCTGGACCCCAGACAAGGATCTCCTTGGTGGTTGGGTGATTAGGGCAACTAGGGAGAGACCTACAAGGTAGGGTGGAAGGAGGGAGGGCTCATCCAGCCTCTTTTTTAAGTGTGTAGTGTGTGTGGGGGGTGCAGTTTGAGGGTATCTACTCAGCTAAAGGAGCCTAAGCCTGGCATGGAGGCCCCTTTCTCTTTGCTCACTAGCCTGAAGCAGCCAGCTCTCCAGCAGAGCACCTAGGTGGACCCCACACCCCTCCTTGCAGGACTGAGAGTAGGGCCAAGGCTTGCCCTTGTCAGAGGAGAGCACAGGCACACTGCTCAGAGAGGTAAGGCTGCTATCCCAGGAATCAGGGGGTTCCCACGATTGGAGGGTCTCTGGATCTGGCCGCCTGCGGAGGACTGGAACGTAGATCTCTTCCTCTACAAGGATTTGGCTGGCGGGGGGGGGGGGCAATAGGAGCATAATCTGACCAGAAGTTATTGAAAGAAGCCGCAGAGCTCCCGCAGTTCGCCATCCAGGCCTTGCTATCGCCTCCTACCAGGAGACAGTCAGGTGTGGCCCAGGATCCCTGGAGGTGCAGGGGGAGGGGGGGAAGGGGTGGCGTCTCTGCTTCTGGAGCAGTGGCCCGGCCCAGAGGGGACAGGAAGCCCGGACACCGGGGATTGTCTCTTGCAACTGCAGCCCAGCCCCAGCCTGGGAGGAAGTTCTGCCGAGCTCTCCGCTGGTTATTGTTGAACAGGAAACAGGGCAGCGCAGGAGCCGGGCTGTGGAGCAGGCAGCGCCGGACGCCAACCCCACGCGCGCCTCCCGGGGCAAGTGGCAGCAGGGTCAGCGGGCGAAAGCTCTGAGGTGCCTGGGCCCCCCTGGAAAGGGGAGAGGGTATTGGGGGGGGGTGTCGCTGAGCCGTTGGAGGGCGGGAAGGGTGCCCAGGTGGCGGTCCTCACCCGGGAGCCCCGCAAGCCGCCTGCTCTTCTAAAGGCGCTGGGGCGGGAGCAGCGCCAGCCAAAAGGAGGGCCCCGTGGCTGGGTCCGCGGAGGAGGAGGGTTAGGCAGGCTGCCCGCTGTTCAGGGTCGGGAAGGGACCAGCCGAAGTTCCGCAGTGCCATCTTAGGCGCTGGCGCCTCTACGCCTAGGGTGACTGGGACAAAAGACGCTGGGAACCTCCTAGGGAAGGATGCGTTCTTGCGCTCCTGGGATTCTCCCCGTTTTCCCATCCCTCTCCTTCTCTTCACTCCCCCAGAATCCAGGAAGGGTCTGGGACTCGGGTCCTCCTTCCCCATAGCCCAAGACTCTGCAAGGGGACTCTCCGAGTTTGTCCAGGAAGGGACGGGCTGCTCCCAGAAAGGGCCTGGGAGGGCGGAGGTGCGCCAGGAATGGGTAGTGCGCGCAACCTGCCTGCAAAACGCTGGGAGTTGGTGATTCAGGTAGTAAAAGGCCTCGCTCGGAATGTGAACGCCGGGTGGAGACAACCAGCCCCAGACGAGCATTCCCAGAGCGAGGCGCTCGCCCACCGAACGCAGGGCCTTGAGGACAGCAAATCCTCGGGGGGTGGCGGAGAGAAGCAGGAACAAGCAGGACCTTATCGACCCTTAGGCTCCCCTCGCGACCCGTCAGTGCCCCTTCCAACGCAGCTCCTCCCTCATGCCTCCTCTAGCATCAGGTCGGGTCTCGCAGGTCCCTCAAGAGCCCAGGCACAGGCATTAAGGCTCCTCCTCGACCTGCCAGACAGCTGTATTGAGGATCCGGGACGGCCCTACTGAGTGTCTGTCCCCGCCTTTCTCCCCCAGCTGCTCGGCTTGGTGCGATCTCTTCAGCCCAGCCCTTGGAAGCCCCTCCCAGGGACATGGTAGAGGCCTAACCTGCAGCTTTCCGCTGGCTCCGCCCATCCGGCTCATGGACTGCCTGAGACCGGCTCTGTCATCGTGAGTGCATGGTTCGGGTCTTGGGAAAGGGGGCGTGACCAAAGTGTCCTTACTCCTGGGTTTGCTGGCCAAGCTCTGGTCTGCCCTAAGACACTGTCTCCAGGCGTCAGGGTGCTCAGTGACTCAGTTTACACCCCTTTAGAAGTCTGTGACAGCAAGAGTGTGGACTCGCTGCTGCAGGTCCCCAGGTCACCTTGTGGAGTAGTAAACGGTGTGGTCAGTGTAGGGTTTTGGAAGAACCACTACTTCCGGGGGAAGCCACTGACTTTGTTTTGAAGGCACAAGGCAGATTTACAGTTGGGGTCCCCTTTCCAACACACCAGGCGCCAGACTGAGCTGGCATGGGAAAGAGTCTTGTGGCGATCACTCCCGAGGGCTTTTGGGGACCCTGGTGACACAATGCATCCCAAGGCAGGTGCTCATACCGGGAAGCCCAGTCTCTTTCGGAGGCGGCCTGGAAGCTGTAGCAGGGGAGGTTATTGGCTTGCCTAGGCCGGCTGGGCGGGCCAGACTCCCGGTTAACCTGTGCCGCGCAGCCTTTGGGGAAGGAAGGAGAAACCCAGAGAACCGGTTCTCCAGCCTTAGCTGTGGAAGGCCCTTCAAAGTCCTTGGACTAAGTGGGGCAGGGACACCCAAGGTAGAACAATTTGGGGGCTGCCACAGAGCCTGCACCCAACGCTGACTCTGCGGGCCCCAGGCGCAGGCTCGTAGTGGGAGAGCTGAAGAACTTTCCAACTATTCCCTGTAGGCTGGAGGCGTCAGGGTGGGGCGGAGCCTGGGCGGAGGAGCAGCGAGAAAGGCCCTGATTCCCACTTCACCATCCGAGAAGCCAGCCTTCAGGCAAATGTGCGGTCTATCTTAGAGTCCGGGCAGTCACCGCAGGTCTTTGGGCCAAGGTTTCCCTGGTCGTAAAGTTGGGCCCGTATCACCCCCAGTTTCCTCCCCACGGATTGCAGCGAGTTACATATCTTAACAATCAGCGACCCAGAATGAAGGGATTGTTGTAATTCCATGATTTTTATGCAATCAAGTCCACCTTCCAGAGCTAGGAAAACTGAAGCCCGAATGCCCTGGCAGAGTGCTGGATCGGGACTCGAACCCAGGTCTTTGAACCCCAGAACGGTGCTCTTCCTGGCTCCTGACCTCCGTGGCTTCGCTTCTCGTTGCCTGCAGAAAAACGCGGAGGCCGCGATGGCGGCGGACGTCCAGGGGGACGTGTACGTGCTGGTGGAGCACCCCTTCGAGTACACGGGCAAGGATGGGCGCCGTGTCGCCATCCAGCCCAACGAGCGCTACCGGCTGCTGCGACGCAGCACCGAGCACTGGTGGCACGTGCGGCGCGAGCCTGGGGGTCGCCCCTTCTACTTGCCCGCGCAGTATGTGCGCGAGCTGCCCGCGCTGGGCGACCCTGCCCCAGCCCCGCTGCCTCCGGTGCCCCAGCCGCGCCCCGCGGTCCCGGAGCCTCTGACCTACGACTACCGCTTCGTGAGCGCTCCGGCGCCCGCGGGCCCCGACGGTGCGGCTGCGGAGCCCCGAGGCCGCGCCAGCTCCCTGTGTGGCCCAGCGCTGCACCGCTCTTTGGGCCAGCGCCGTAGCCTGGCGCCGGGCGGATGCCTGTACGTGCGGCCCGCAGCGCTGGTGCGGCCGGCGCAGTCCCTGGACGACCTGGCGCGGGCCGCCGCAGCGCCCCCTGCCGGCCTCCTCGGGAGTGCGGGCCACTTCAAGGCCCGCAGCGTGGCGGGCTCCTGGGTGTGCCCGCGACCCCTGTCGCGCAGCGACTCCGAGAACGTCTACGAGGCCATCCTGGACGTGCGCTGCCCGCCGCGGGAGAAGAGCCCAAAGCAGGTAGGGCCCCCGAGCTAGGAGGCGCGTGGGCGGGAGGTCACAGTCAAGCAGAGCCCGGGGGTGGTGGTGGCGGGGGGCGATGCCCTGGGAGCCCATGGACGTCTCCCCGGACGCCTGCCTGTGGCCACCAGCTTTGAAGAAGCTTGCTTTCCCCGACCACGAAGAGTGGTCAGGCTCATGAGCCCCACCTCCTACTCCCAAGTGTCAACGCTCCCCAGAAGCCCAAAAAAATTAATTTGGCTGGTGGCAAATTGAACGGATCAGAGGCCATGGTTTGTCTCTTTACCTCAGTGTGAATATTCAAATTTTGTGCAGAAATGCAAAGGAGCTTGATTACAGCCCTGGTGGGCAGTTAACTAATCTTTGGCAAATGCATGCCCAAATCCCACCGATCTGTAGCAGAGTGCTGGGCATGGAATGGGACTGCCTCACCTTCTCTCGAAGTTTAAGCTGAAGGTTGGGTCAGATGAGATGGTGGATGTGAAAGTCAGGCATCTGCTTCTCGTTTGGGCTGCTTCCAATGTTTCGGTTCCTTTTTTTAAAACTCTTAATGGGCTTGTTTCAGAAACAAGGTCGGTTATGGTGAGGGTGTTCCTGCTCACTTTCGGAATCGGGATTCGAGACATTGAAAATAGAGCACATTTTAAAGCACAGCATCAGAACCCTCCGGCTTCGCCCTGCCATCTTAAACTTTAGAACCTTTTAGGGAGGGACAGTCTGCCAGGGGTGGGTGCTCCCAGCGTTGACATCTGCCACCCGCTGTGAAATTATCCACAGCTCACTTCCTCTCTCAGGTTCTTAGTTTCACCCAAAGTGGAGGAGACAGATGAAAGACCCCTGAGATCCAGGAGCCTCTTGCACTTGCTGTGATCACGCTTAACACAAATGCCTGCACGTGCAGAGACCGAGGTACACCACATAGACCAGCTGCCTGGGCCTTGCCTCTGCTAGGGCTCGGCCTGGTACAGAGTTCAGGTTTTGAGGCTACTGAAACCCAAATTCGACTCTGCTGGGTCACCTACCAGCTGCTGACGAGCTCAGTGTCCTCGCATGTAAACAACACCCAAGAAATAAGGTTGTTGTGAACCTTAAACGCAGTGAGGCATGGAAGCACTTGGCACGCTGCACCAGTGTACCTAGAGCAGCTAGGGTCCTTTGCGCCTGTGTGCTCAGGTTTCCGAAGATCATCCTGCCCCCTGGTGGCCGCTGTGGAGAACAACATGCAGCAGGCTTGAGTGCTGCAGATCGCTGTGTCCTGTGCTCCTGCCAGCCAGCAGGTCAGGTGACCTCTAGGCTAGATGGCTAAATGCCAAAGCCCTATCCCCTGGTGCCCCTCTAATCCTAGGCAGGCTCCCTGCAGAACACTCGGGGTCTATCCACATCCGAGGATCCTAGTAATTAATGATGGGAGTGTGTCTAGAGTGAATCTGCCCTGGAGGTCGAGAACGGCCCTGGCTCTGAACCCCAACCCCAGCATCGGACCGAGAGACTATGACAGACTATGACTGTGTTGAGGAGAGGCGAAGAGCTGCAGTCTCTTCACCCATGAGCCAGGGCTCTGCAGGTCTGCCCAAGGGCGGCTCCCCAGGCCCTGGGACCAAGGAGAAAAGGGATCCCTCCAGGTCCCAGAATCTCCTGAGAAATCTCCCCCAGCCACCAGGGTCCCTAAACAATGGTACCTTTCCCCATCCTTCCTCCAGCTCCCCATATGTTCCCAGTTGCAGTAGGTTGGGGCCACAGGGTGAAGGGAGGACCTGGGAAGCCTGCAGCAAAAGACCTGCATGCTGAGCAAAAAGGCTCTGCCTTGCTCAAATTCACCATGTGGCCTTAAAGTGCTCAGCATCTCTGATCCTGTCTCCTCCTGTGTGCCAAGTATAGCAGTAGAACACCCTCTGTGACCTCCATTTACTGGAGGTCAGCTGTGGCTCTCCCTGACACCCTGTCCTCCACAAACTGCAGGGATGGGGAGTTGGAGTTGGTTCTCCCTTGGAAAGGAAACCCACCTCCGCCTTTCCTTGTCCCAGACAGCACAGGAAGGAATTTCCTGAAAGGTGAGCCTCCCTGTTTTCCAAAGGATGTAGATGCACACCCCCCCCCACTCCCCACTCTCAATCACACCACCACTCCACACCCCCCACTCACACCTTCACACCCCACCCCTACTCACATCTTTAGTCACACCCCCTCACCTCCCATGGTCCTGATTCCTAGGTCTATTTGCTTGCTCTTGGGTGTTCATTAAGCATAAATTGACTACATGCCTCTCAAGACCCCTAGAGACCTAGAGAAGACCGTAGCCCAGCCACAGCCTGGGGAGGTGCACCGTCTGAGATGAGATGCTGGTAGTAGGGAATAGACAACGCCGCAGTCCCACACAGCCCAGGATGTCTAGAATAGTGCTACACTGAGGGTGCTGTGGAGAGGTGTGGACAGAGCCACATGGGGGTCTTGTAGTTCCATTCCAACCCACCGCTTGTGTTGACCATGGAGTTTGAGGTTTGGTGGTATATACCATCAGGCAGGGCTTTGTGGGAATTCAGGCGTTATCCTGCAGCCTTTGGAAGGCCCTTAGCAGGGAAGGGAGTGAGATGGAGAAAGACTCCTGTGGCTGGGGCTGCAAGGAGATAATGAGAGGGTCACTCACAGGGTCTGGGGAAAAGGCAAGGATGATCAGGCTGCATCCTCGCTTCACACTCATGCGGGTGGACAGGCAGTGGCAGTATTTACAGAGGCCTTGGAGGAGGTGTGGGGTGGAGGAAAGTTGGGGCGCACCTGAATATAGTTGACAAAAGGAGGAAAAGAGGAGCTTGAGATGAAACATCCAGGGAGCAAAGAAGAAAGGCAGGCAAGCACTGGCCCAGAAGCCAACGAGAATGTGCAGAAGGGGAGACCGGAAGCTCAAGATAGATAAAGGACACAGGACAGAAGGCCAGTTTGTCAAGAGATTGCAGAAGAAAGAGGGCTGTGTGGGTCAGGAGGTGAGGGACGTGGACGGAGAGGGTTGGCGGCTGACAAAAGCTTGGCAGGGAGTGGGAGATGCCATGCAACCAGAGTGGGAACTGGAAAATAGAGGCATCACCAAGTCTAAGTGAATAGATGAGGCCAGAGTTGGAAAGGATGTAGATGATGAGATAGGATCCCTGGAAGAAGGGAGTGGCCCACAGGGGCCAGGGTGTGAATTAGGAGGTGACGCGGGGGAGGGGCAACCACCTGTCATACACCAGCTCAGGGCTTAGGGCAGGCCACTGAGCAGACGCTCCAGAAAAAGAGAGGAGCCTGTACCACATCCGGCATTTTGTAGCTTTGGCATTCACAGCTCATTCAAATAGCACACACTGTGTCCTGGGTTGTGCTGGTCAGAGACCCAAGGTGTAGTAAGACACAGCCCCTGGGGCTAACAGGCCTGTGTCCTCTCACTCAGAGGCCTGTACACACGACTGGGCAAACCCTTTTGCTCTAAAAACAAACAGGTTGAGAGAGAAACTGTTGTCTAAATTAGAATCAGGCCTCCTGACTCCAAACCTCACCCCAGCTGCCAAGTTTAGTCTTAGTGAGGAAGCCTTCAGAGCTGACCATTGTTCCCCTCAACCAGAACAGTAGGAGCGGATGGCAAGTACACATTGCCCACAGCACCGTGTCCAGCTACTGCTAACCTCCCTCCTGTGCTGCCTGCAGCCTGGGGCACAGCAGGAGAATCTTATGGCCAGGAAGGCAATGTACCCCACTGTCAGTACTAGGAGAGGCCACACAGAGAGTCCAAGCAACAAAGCAGCCTTTGAGGCCAGGCCTGTAATCCTGGCTGAGGAGGCTGAGGCAGGAAGATCACATTTTAAGGGTTACTCAGGCTACAGAGCCAGTACAAAGCCAGCCTGGTCACCTTAGTGAGTCTCTGTCTCAAAATAAAGAAGCAAAAGGAGCTGGGAGTGGTGGCACTCGCCTTTACCCCAGCACTTGGGAGGCAGAGGCAGGTGGATCTCTGTGAGTTCGAGGTCAGCCTGGGCTACATAGTGAGTTCCAGGCCAGGGGCTACAGGGAGACCCTGTCTCAAAAGAAAAAAAAAAAGAAAGAGAGAGAGAGAGAGAGAGAGAGAGAGAGAGAGAGAGAGAGAAAGAAAGAAAGAAAGCAAAAGGAGAATTGGTATGTAAATTGCATGCCTAGCATGTGTGAGACCCTACATTCAGTCCCCCCCAACTGTGACCACCCCCTCAACCCCACCCCCATTCCTGTTTCTGGCCTCCCTGGTTAGGAGATTTCAAGGTGTGGTCAAAGTCCCCTCCCCAGCCTTGGAGGCTGGAAGGCCCAGGGCACAGATCAGACTGGGACCCGCCCCTGCTGCCCAGGCATTGGCCACTGGCAAGAGAGAGTTATAGTCCCTGCTTCACGCAAACAGCCCCGGAGGCACTGCACCTGAGCACAGGCACAGCCTGGACTGAAAGAAGCCCCACGGCCTTCGTTCCTCCCTCCTCCTTCGTTCCTCCCTCCTCGGCTACCAGGAATTGTGAGTGACCCTTCCTCGGGATTAGGCATCCTGGGGGACAAAGGGATTTACTAGTTTTCTCACTCACCTCCCTCCTGGATTTCCCACCTATCCCTTCCTGTTCCTGTACACTTCCTGGGACAAATACCTCAGGGCAGGCAAAGCCTGAAAGCTAGAAAGAGGTAAGAGCAGGGAGTGGAGGCCAAGTTGAGGAGATCCAGTAGCCCCCTCCCCTTCCCTCTCCCAGCTTCCTGGACTCCTACATAGGGCAACTGCCCTGGGTGACTCAGCCAGTTTCTTCACACCTAGCCTGACCTTTTCTTCCCCATGACTCACCTGCTGATCTAGAGGCCCCAATGCCCTGCCCATGTCATGGTTTCAGGGAGAACAGGGCCTTAGGTCTCCTCTCCAGCCTTAACTCACCTATCTGGCTACCAAGAATTCTCACACCCACGGCCCTCTCCCCTGCACACTGAGCAGTCACCCTGTGTTTCCCTAGGTGGCCCCTAGGGGCCTGGACCCT